ATGGAAACCAAACAATGGTGTAGCTGTATTGAAGTCCGAGTGGAAACAGTAACATTTGGTGCGTTATGTTAGAATGAAACAAATCAGATTTAGTCAGAAATCGGGAGAAATGCGGGATAAATATGACCCCGGGAGGAAAACGGGAGTCTCCCGCGAAAATCGTGAGGGTTGGCAAGTAGGCTATGTCACATACACACGCACTTTTTGCCCCCCCCACTTCTGAAATGAATCCGGCGCCGCTGGCTGCCATTATGTACGGCACCCGGGGAGCAGTGTAGGGAACGGTGCTTTGCTCAGGGACAACTCGGTAGCACTTGGTCTTTCCGGGACTTGAACTGGTGACCTTCCAGTTGCCAAGCCCCTATGGACTTCGCCACCACCGCCCGATGGTTCTAAGAACAAGGAAGAGTGTGTTGGAGTTGGTATATATATATCCCAGACTTTAAAATATCAATTTCAAAAAGAGCGTCAGATCAATTATCAGTGTGCAACAGAAATGCTGGCTATAATAATAGGATTACAGTGGGTTGAAGAGGTCAGACCAGATAGGGTGGTGATATGCACAGATTCATTATCCATTTTAAAAAGTATACAGTCAACAACAACTGTCAGAGAAGAATTACTCATATAACTTAATCTAGGAAATCATGATAGCTAGACTCAGACTGGATCACACAACATTGAATGTTACTCTATGTCGTAGGAACTGTGGAGTTAAAAAAAATGTGGAACATATCATATTACACTGCAACATGTACAAAACAGAGAGGGAAAAACTAAGAGACAGGGAGAGTGGAGCCTGATGGGGATACTGGGAACAGAAGGTGAGGGGGTAAGAGCTACCAGGAAGGCCATTCTTAAGTATTTGAGTGAAAAAGGATTGATTGGAAGAATTGAAAACAACGTAAACACAGTGGTATAATTCCACAAGTGCTGACAGGATGATATGTTGATACACGCTCTTGTACAGTAGGGGGCGGTATGCACCTTAAAGTTGTTTGCAATCCGCCAAAAAACCGAGAGAAGAAGAAGAAGAAGAACGATTATACATCCATGGAACGACCATACTATGGAAGCAAACAAGAGACAGAAGTATGGAAGCAAACAAGAGACAGAAGTATTTGAATTTTATCAGACACCGAATTTATAGCATTGAAAATAATTACTTTGAAAATCATGTATCTGAATTTTTTTTGCTCCGAATTTACCTATGTGAAATTAAAATGTAAAAATTCAAGTTAAAAAAATTCGAATGTTCAAATTCAGATCCCAAAAATTAAAGTGAAAAAAATTCGACGTCAAATATTTCGGTGTTTAAAATTCGATGTCAAAAAATTCGGTGTATAAAATTCGACGTCAAAAATTGCGATGCAGCTTCATCCGGGCTACTCAGACAGGATAAGCAATCGAGTCCGAATGCAATCAAACCGACTTCTGGCCTATCAGAGCCAAGCGGCAAACCCCGGGACAGTGCGGTGAAGCCCAATGCTGTAAACTGTAGGCGATGGATGCAGATGGGAGCAATTCCCGTAGACCCTATGTTAAAATGTCCAACTTAACATCAGAAAATGAACATGTTTCTAGCCTGGATCCACAAAAACATATTCTGTATATAGTTAGATTCCCCCTTCATGACAACGGGACTGCTGCTCCTAGCTCCTCTGTCTCACTGTTAGCTCCGTGATGCTACAGGGGCTCAGCGCATGAGGAGAACACTACTTGAATTCTGCCGTGTTTGTTGTGTTGGTTCCTGGTGGACTATTCGTCATGCAAATATAGGATTTATCTGCGGTTGAAACAGACCGTCCATGAATGCAGTTTCTTCGGTAAGTCAACCCTGCGTACTTTATGTTATGTTACTGGTGTTTTTATTAAGCTAACGTTAATTAATGTTTAGAGTTGGGTTAGCATTTGAGCAATCGTAGCTCCATCTGTGCTAACGATGCTATGCGTAGCATCCAAGCGTGTATAACATTAAGTGGGATGCTACTGTATACCAAAAGGCTTCTGTGCGAGGTTGCTAAAATAAGGTCATCCTTGTACGTTAGATAGTTAGTTTGCTAGTTAGGTTACTGTATACATTGTTAAGGTTCATTTAAATTCGCTATGCTCTACTATAGCATAACATAGACTAGCTAACGTCAACGTATTGTTGAAGAGAGGCTTAGTGTATATTAAATCAACCTCACAATGAAATGTGTGTAACTTTAAAATATGAACGTCACATTTCAAGATGGTCCAGAAATAACGCTCCCTTAGATATTGTAATATGGTTTGTTGAACTGGAGTTATTTATTGCAGCTAACCGCCTATCCGACCCAAACATTGTTGTTTTTAATATTATTACCAATGCCTCTTTTAATTGTATTATCATCACACTTGAGAAACAGCCGTATCGTGGCTGTAGAACGGAACATGTAACTTAATATCTGCATTTAAGGACTATGAATAGCGTAGTCAATGCTTTAGTGACAAGGCAATGATTTGTTTAAATATTAGATATGACGTTATCTGTGACTTCAGTGGAAATGAAGCTTATCCATTGCATTGCATTTGTTGAATAGGTTTGTGTCTTATCCTTACGTGTGTGATACATATGAATATGGCATATGAAAACAAATTAATTTGACTGACTCATGAAAACCTCATCCAAAGTAACGGTAAAATAAAAAGGACCTACACAATAATACTCAATCAAACTGATACAGTATAAGGACTGTGATATCCAGCAATTTCTTAAGTATAACAATAAGATTATGACCTGTTTTTAAAAGAAGATAAAAAGTAGTTTGCATGTAAAGAAGTCTGTAAGCCACGCATGTAACTTTACATCTGTTTGTTCAAAGTGTCCTCAAGGTGATCCAGACAGGCTGGACCAGAGGAGGAGAGACAGATCTGGACTCCTAACAGCAGAGAACTTCAGCACGGATTCCAAGGTACACCTTTTTCATACTTTACAAAGAATGCATAAAGTAATGACTCTAATACACTGATATACATGCCATTAAACATGACTAAATACTAGATCACCTACACATCAGTGATGTTGAGTGCACTTTCTTAGAAAAAGGTTACATTTACATTTTACCAAGCAACATCACTTTTTTGTTCAACTTTCACATTTCAATGTATTTAAGGCAAATATTATTGAACATAGTGAGAACTGCGACCCTTTGTCTCTGCATACTGACTGTAAAACAACATGTTAAAAGTGATTCTTTCAGTGAGACAACCGAACAGAGCAAGCTTCTACAGTTGCACTAAGTTTTGATAACAGTTAAATATTATTTGAATAATACATTTATTTCAATGTTGATGAATTTAGAACGGTTTATTCATAACCTGATTATCTTTGTAGTACACTGTTGGATTTAAAAAATACATTCAAATAAGAAAATCATTATATTTATGAACAAACAAACACACCTCTTTCTTAAATAACACACTTGCTCTGCAATAATATGTTTCTTGATATTTCTGTTAGGAAAGGACAGGCCTGAGAGACAGGACTGCTTCACCATGTTCTCTTTCTCTGAGGGTCCAGAAGAACATCCAAGAGGGAAAGGAGAAGCTAATGTGATAAAAGTCAGCTGATCAAATGCATTTGCCTCACTTTATGAGCTTCACAATACTTGTGTCTTGTACCGCAGAGTTGGCAACGTCACAAATAAATGGTGCCAATCTTCAGTCAGATGTGAATGTGTAATTTAACATTTTCAGTAAGAATAACGGACAAAAGGAGTGCAAATACAATTTATTGAAATGTGAACTAAAAGTTATCAAGCATGAACCATCACCATTTTTTTTTTAAATAAAAACGAAATAATATACATAAGTTACACTCAATGTTAATCTGTTAATTGACAGGCCTGTGCAGGTGGTAACAGCTATGCCCAGCATGGGCTAAGTTCTGTAGGTGCAGCTGGTGCTGCACCTAACGTTGTGATTCACTTCAATTAATGATAACTACGGAGCTTGCTAACAGCAAGGCACAAGGCTACTTCACTCATTTAGCTAGCTAATGTAAGATACAAATGCTGTCGAGCCCTCACTGCTTGTAAAATAAAGAGCACAAACTTACCCGAGCAGCGAGCCCCGCTGTTCTCCGTCATTTTTCTCCCAGGTTGTTGTGATCACATGACGGACAAAGCCGTGCTCTGATAGGCCAGAAGTCGGTTTGATTGCATTAGGGCTCGATTGCTTATCCTGTCTGAGTAGCCCGGATGATGCTGCATCGCAATTTTGGACATCGAATTTTATACACCGAATTTTTTGACGTCGAATTTTTTTCACTTGAATTTTTGGGATCTGAATTTGAACATTCGAATTTTTTTCACTTGAATTTTTACATTTTTATTTCACATAGGTAAATTCGGAGCAAAAACATTCAGATACATGATTTTCAAAGTAATTATTTTCAATGCTATAAATTCGGTGTCTAATACAATTCAAATAGGCTACTTCTGTCTCTTGTTTGCTTCCATACCAGACACATGGCAGCAACGTTCCCATCTGCTTCATTCATTTCTCCTGTTCAACAGGTTAGTAGTGTGGACACAGATTATGTCATATTTCGATCAAAGAAGTGTGTTTGAAACTGTTTTATGTGTAGTTTAATGTCATTCTGTGAGCTACGCCACTAGCGTGTGGCTAATGGCGTCCACTAGCTTCTTTAGCGCAGGCTGTTGCTCCCTGAATAATGTAGGGCTCTACCATGTTACCATGTGTATGACTCCCTTGCACTAGTTTGGCTTACATTTCAAGTTTATTCTGTTTGTATAAATATGTGAAATGCTGGTCTGAGGTCATAATTGTTCATATTATTTAAATGCTAAAGCGCTAATGCTATGCTAATAGTGTGCCTGTACAACAGCAATGTTAAAGTGAGTACAGTCGACCGGGTTGTGTGTGTTATCTGTAATCACTGTATTATATACTGTAAATTAAAAAGGCTTTAATCCTTCATCAAAGTCATAATATGGCATGTGGATTTATGTCCATTTTTTATTAGAGACACATATGTCATACGGTTATTTTGATTTGCTAAATGTATGTTTACATTCTCAGTTAGCTTCAGGCCTCACTGAGGCGAAGTATTGAGGTAGAAAGCTGGTGAAGCCATTTCCTGCTGTCATTATATTCTGTTTGCACAGATAATAAACCTGGTTGACAAGAAGGACGTCGTTTTCATTCGACACAACGCAGAGATACATGTGGCGTCAATCCAGACCGGTTACACAAAGAATGATAAATAGAGAAAACAGATATAATTTGTAAGTGAATTTATTAATTTGTTTAATACATTCTGGCTAGAACGACCACACAAACGGCAGCAACTTTCCCTCTGCTTCATTCTTTTCTCCTGATCAACAGGCTTATTATCTGATTACCAGCTCTGCACAGCGGACTTGTAACACTAGCAGCAGTGGAGATGGAGCATCAGAACCTGGAGGCTTCTACTCTCCTGAAGAAGAAGAATACAGCAACAAGGATCCATTTGAAGATAGGTAAATGTAAATATTACAGTAATAGTGTACTTGCATTGTGTGGGTGTAAGGGTGTAACTTTGGTTTGCGAAGTGGGGGGGGGGACACAAAACAGGGGGCAATGAAACATTTTCTCAATTTAATTCCATTTCCTGCCTTTCTACAAATATATTAGGGACTATAGTGTTAATAAATCCAAGAAAAATGTGTAGTGTATATAATGAGTGTGCACACTTATCTAGTATCCTATCCATGTGAACCTGTTTTATTTGTGATGACCTCACATCCTCTAGGGGGGGTACTAGTATATATTTCAATCATCAAAAATCCTGCTTGCTCACAAGCAATAACACATATTTGATCAACTCCTCTCTCCTATCTTTATCTTACCTAGTCTGCATTCTTTCTTTTTATTTATGCATATTTTACTAATCACTCCCCTTTCAAATTGTGTTTTTTAGTTTGTACTGACCTATTGCACACAGTGGAATGATTTATTAACTCATTTTATATACAACTAATATTACATAGATGGAAATGATGACCAAACCTCCCTGAGCTGACGTTATCTCTCTCACTCCCACAGGAGAGAGCTCTCCCTCTCCTTATTGTTGAAACGGCTTCTAATCTCCGTTAGCTCCGAGCTAGCACCAAATACTAACAACGTCTCTCTTTCTATCTCTCACACCCTCCTCCTCCTCCTCCTCCTCCTCCTCCTCCTCCTCCTCCTCCTCCTCCTCCTCCTCCTCCTCCTCCTCCTCCTCCTCCTCCTCCTCCTCCTCCTCCTCCTCCTCCAGAGAGAGAGAGATCATTTTATTTTGAGTTGTGCATTGTTATTTGTGCTTGAGAAACATTCCACTTGAACTTTATTTTAACAAACTTAGTAGTAATTATTGTCCTATATTTTTTTTCAGATTTCACAGCTGCCTGGGCCTAGCAGCAAGAACCTCCATCTGTCCCTGCCCCCAGGTCAAGATCTACCGTGGCTCAAGGGCCTTCACCGCAAAGGACCAGAGGACCATCATCACTACAGTGGCCTCCATCTCCATCTGCCACAAGATTAAGATACACCTCGGGACAAAGGCCTCCACCACAGCCATCACGATCAACCCAGCCAGCAAAGAAGTCTCGCCTAGCACCGCCTCGGTGAGACTCCAGAAAGCATGGAGCAAGAGACAATTTCCCTTTTGTCTGAACAACAGAAAAGAAACAACCGGCAATCAATAAAAGAAAAGATGGCGAAGGCGTTTGGATACTGAAGACAAGAAATAGTGCATCGGAGGCCAAGCATTGAAGGCTTCTTGGAGCGGTGGCCTGCACTTTTTCACATGGAAGAGGTAATTATTTTGATGAAACCCTTGATTGTAAGCCTGTAGTGGAGAAGAATTGAGGGCCCAACTAACTAACAACTATAGACAGCCGAGGCAAATATGTTGACGTTTATTTTTTAATATATATCACAATATAAGCTTTACATCTATTACTCTTAGTGTCTTTATTTGGTGGTGGTTTTCAATAAATATGTGGATTAATTAATTTAAATGTTACATTCATACAAGCTGACTTGGAGTACTTTTAATCAAACCATTGGCTCTTTATAAAAAAACATGTGTATTATAAATTCTTAGTATTTTTTGTTTTCTATGCTGCTTATATTTTCTAGGTAAATGCTGAGTTAATGCGCATAACAACAATTCCATTGGAGACAAAGTTCTTGGCGCAGTTGGACAAACACTCAGGTCATCAGGAGCAGGGGAGGAGTTGTGAAACAGAAGACCACCGGGATCTTGCAGGTTTTGGATGAGGTATCTATGAATGAGTTTTTTATCTGTGGGATCAGTGGCTGAATCCTCCTTTATTTGCATTTAATTTATTATATATATATATCTCTGTTCTTACTCAGACTGTGGACATCGCCATCAGAAGAGAATGCATCCTCAAATCTCTAATGATCTACCTGGGTGAACCTGTTGACCATCTCATCAAAGAATTCCAGGTAAGACCTCCGACTCACTCACAAGAAGTTTGTTCATAAAAGAAAACATATTTGTACTGCATGCAAATAACTGCTTGGTTAGAAAGATAGTCATTTGTGATGACCTCCTGAGCTTTCCTCTTGGGCCGACTGAACTGACGCCTCAGGCCTGTTGAACTACACTCTGTGGTCCTCATCCATTCCCCTTTTTTTTGCATGATCTGCAGGACGCTGAGGCTGGAGAACTGGAGCAGGCAACAATGGAAGCCTTTGACACTGGGAAAGAGGATCAGCTTCATCGACCCAAAGACGTCAAGGTTCTCATCGAAGGAACAGAGGTCCTCAGCGGCTTGCCCTCGGTTGCGACAGCTTTTGCCATGCTCTTCGGGCTCATATACGCACTGAAATGGGGCGAAGCCTGCGAGCTAGTTCAGGCAGTCAACTCGAGCACTTATGCTGCATTCATACATAACGCCCCCTTGCCACTCTACAACCAACCAAACAGAGTCTCCTTAATATGCCGCTCTATTTAACCTGCCAGATCTCTCTCCATGCATTGCTTGCTGCTGCTATTGCCGCAGCTACCTCTACGTCGCTGCTGCTCGCTGCCCCACCACCACCCCAGCTTCCACCTGTAGGCTCGGGGGTTAGTTATTTGATCATCACTCATCGTGCTATGTATATCTATGGAGTGATGATGCCCGAGCCTAGTCGCCAAACTCAACTATATGCTAACATTATCATATTAAAAAAACGCGCGTTTATTTGATCAAATAAACGCATGTTTTTTTGATCAAATAAACGCGCGTTTTTGACGCGAAAAACGTGCGTTTTTTACAAAAAAGCGCGTTTTAAACGGGCGAATAGTGGCACTTGAGGCTTTCCATACATATGGGAGTGCCGCGGGGCACGTGTGGGGATGTCTGACAAAATTACAACGCGCATTTGGGGCATTGTTGTATATATTAGAAGCTTTTAATCCAGAATTGATCGATGTTACCATGAGCCACAGTTTTTACACTGTAAAAAAGAAAAGAAAAAAAGAAAACTGTAAAAAAAGAACTTTCAAAAGGGCACATTGCTGTCAAGAGGGCAAAACGGGCAGGTGCTCAAGCACTACCTAGAGTCTATGTGTGCACGTCTCTGCATATGTGTGTGTGTTGCTGATATCTGGGTTAAGGAGTTTATGTGTGTGTGCTGCATGAAGACAGGAGGAGGTGTATGTGTGTGTGTCAGGGTCTCTGGGTCATGGAGTGTAAGTAAGAAGGTTTAGATATATAGGATTACTTTAAACAGTCCCAAATAATACATGTTCACTTCAATACAGTTCAAGATAATACCTGTTTACTTTAATACAGTTTAGAACAATATCTGGGTGCTTTACTATCCAATTAAAAGGGCACCCCTCACTGTTGCATGTCTTGTATTAGCTAAATGTCCTGCAAATGAACAGAACATTCACAAGAGGGCAAGATGAGTCTCAAAGAAAGAAGAGACATAACAGGGAAACAGTTATATTTCACATATTGACCAATTTGTTAAACAATTTCTTCTATATCCATCAATAATTGTAATACTAAAGTAGTGAAAGAGAAACAAATCACCATGATGGCTGAGCTCTTTATTTGTTAGGCTGATGTTGTTGTAAAAAGTTGCGGCAACGAAAGAGTTAAGGGTGGAGTGATGAGCACTGCAGGGTGGTGGATGAGATTTCATCTACTCAAGTCATAATAAGAGCACAGCATGACTTGGATGTTTCTTTAAAGGAACATGTGCACATTTGATACAGACTTGAGAGACAGCAGAGCCTCAGGAGGTGAGTACGCTTATTTGACATAATGTTAGTCTCTAGGGTGACCACTGATGATTGACAATGAAAATATCACTTACATTAGGTTTGTCTGTCTTCTTAACCTACATTTAGCCAAATTAAATGTTTATGTAATAATTTACGCAGTTTCGTTGTACTGTCTGTGAGATTTTTTTGATATGATTTGATTCGATTTATTTCAGATGTATAAAACAATAATATAAAAATGTAACATGACAATTATTATACAATACAAAATGAATCGGTGTCAAATTGATATAAACAAATATTACTGATTCTAAATTATGTATAAATAAATAAATGTAGTTACTGGTAACTAGTTTATTTGTATAAATATTAAAAAGATATTCATCAATGCAATTAAAAACCCTGCATCTAGACTTACAGGAAATGTGTCCGACTGTAGAGGAGTGAGGAGTGCTGCTTTAAATTCATTGGTGAATTCCTTTGTTTTTATGTTTACTCTTCCCCAGGCTCTGGCCGCTGAGAAAGATGAGAAGAGGAGACACGCCCCTTTTACAGCAGGAGTCAAGTCCTTGCTTGGGAAAGAGTGAGCTTCCTTATTTTCTTAGTCTCATCCCTGTCTCTCTGTAATGTAAATGGCTTTCTCTTCTGTTGTTGACTTTTCTTTCAGATATGACTTTGACAAAGAGCTAACTTGGGTGTACAGCCATTAACAACAGTGACGTGTCTGGGAAAAGATAAAAAAAGACAAGATAAAGACAGCAAAATACAGAGAGCTGAGTCTGAGATACAGTAGGGCTATGAGTGGTTGGGTAATGGCCATTTATTTTGTTCAGAGTGAGCACCATTAAGATGCTTCCCACATTAGTGCCAAATAACGCCTTCTGCAGAGAGAGACTATAACTGCATTTCTCAGCCATCTGATCCGATCTTTTCTAAACCAGACACTTAGTCCAATGAGAGAAAGTCTCCTGTGAATGCTGGATAATAGTTGTTATTTCCTGTGTAACTGGGGTGCCAAGTTTGGGAGTGACAATTCATTATTATTATTATTATTATTATGTTGTAACATTGTTCATGCTGCCCTCTTGGCCAGGTCGCTCTTGAAAAATAAATGTTAATCTCAATGAGACTTTTACTGGTTAAATAAAGGATATATACATATATATTATTATTATTATTACTCTGCTGGTTAAACAGCACAAGAACCAAAATGCTAAAATATTGTTCTCACTATTTATGTAAACAGTCAGTCTGGCCACTGACCACTAGTAAATAGCTCGGAAGCAAGTATAGAAATATAAATATAATCCATCTGTATCATGTAAAGATAACACATTGGAGGTATTTGTCTTTGCTTTCACACAAATTGGATTAGTAATCTGAGAGTGTAAAGTAGGATAATACATTCTGAGGGCAATTGTTTCCCTTTAGAAAGACTTTTGCTCGGAAATTCAAACTGGATTTGTTTGTTTTTTTGGTTGTCAGAGCCTAGAAAAAACAGAGCTAAGAAGAAAGGGAATAACAGATATGAAGGGGCAACTGAGAATGTTCTCAGACTTCATACCCAGTTTACTGGAGGTTCACTAAAGAAAATAATGATCGTAACATATGACTTAGTGAATAAAAATGGCATATGTGACGAATACCTGGTTGTGAAGCCTCTTCGCCACAGAGGTAGAGAGTTTTCTCTCTACTTTGTGTGCACACTGAGTTCTTGTGTGATTGTGTCTGAAGGAGGGGGGTGGGGGGGGCAGTAAAAGAGAGAGCAAGAGATGAATAGAGCAGAAAGCAGCAGGCTCTGTCCACTCTGAGTGTGGCCCTTTCTTTGTTGACAGCCTGTTGACTTACTCTCAGGATTAGTAGCTCTGCTCCTTAAAATAGAGAGAGATATGCAGTAAGGACAACACAACTATAACTGTATGCCTCTGTAGACTCATAGATTGACTGGGTCAGACCCAGGTAGATGAAATTGCCACTAAATGTGTACAGTGCTTCCCTCTACAACGACAACACCCCCAGATATGGCTATGAGCGGCACTGAAGGTAAGTGCAGAACTCATTCAAGGTATATAGATGCAATACAAGATGATGGGCAAAACGTTAAGTCTGCTTTTCTTTGCATTACTGCACATCACCTTTTATTATAGGCAAATGGTCAACCGAAAGGAGTCTGCATGCAGCTGAGATGATCAGTGACAAAATTAGACAGCATGTGTGGGGCCGGGGAGATCACTGAGTGCAGAGCAGCTTGGACTAAATGACCCATTAATAACACATTTGCAAATACCTAAATGATTTGCATTACATTCACGCACTTCTTTGGGACTTTATCTGTACATTGCATAATTTTTGTAATAATTTGTACTGTCAACCTTTGCACAATCCTTGTACCATTTTGCACATTCCTGCATAGAATTATAATTTCTGAAAACTGCAAAGCTCATGTTGTATTCCGATATATTGAACTTATGTCCAATAGTATTTTTTATACATTTTATAATTCACTTTAAATGTATCTCACTCACAATACAAAAAATGCGAATTTCTTGTATGTGAAACATGTTCAAACAGATTCTTATTATGATACATCTTTCAGAGATTATTAATTCAATTAGAATTAATACAAATTAATGAATACATGTATGAATAAATAATATAACCTTAGAAAGACAGAACAAAATCAAAAAAACTATTACAATCAATCAGCATCGTTGATATCGTCGTTCATAGTTGTCATGGTAATAGAACTGTCATGTCTAGGAAACTAATAGTGAAAGTGTATTCTTTGTTAGTTTTGTCATGTCCCTTTGCCCTGTGCTTTATGTTTATTCCCTTAATTAATCATCCCTCTCATTTCAGGCCTCCACGCTCCCCGCCCCCTTCTGTCTCCTGCGTCCTTGATTGTTTTCCCCGCCCTGATTGTTTCCACCTGTGTCCCCTTTACCTGTGTATATTAGTGCTGTAGCGACGCGTCGTCGTCGTCGACTTCAAAATATCGTCGACGACATATTTCCGCGTCGACGCGTCGCTACACACACGTGGGTCACCCAAAGCAACAAGCAGTTCGCAATCGCACTTCAAACACAATGGAGACTGAAACGGCTACCACCTCCTCCTCACAGGATTGCGCACGAAGCCCCCAAACGAAAACATCTCGCCCTAGGTCTTCAAAAGCATGGGAATATTTTAAAGTTAGTCCAAAACGCAAAGATATTTATATATTTATATCTCACTGAGACTGCTGCATAGCCTAGCAGAAGCAGCAGCTAGCTGTGGTGGCTACCATTAGCAGCTAGCATTTGCTCTCCGATTTTTACATAAAATGGAATTATGGATTATAAATTCAATCATTTTTTTATACATAGACGTTAAAAACCTATGGATTAACCGATTCAGCCGCGTTTTTTCTCATTTTATTGCCATTGAACACGTCTTTTGATCAGATTACGGTGGTGAGACGATCTCCCGAGAAGCTCTGTGAAGGTACGTGTTGTGATGACTGTATTTGCTTCCCCTGTCGCGAGTCCGGATCACTCAGTGATGATACTATATACCTACATAATCTGTGGAGTCTCAGCTTTAATCGGATATATTGTATGTGCAGCTACGATAAGTAATAAGGGTACTTTTATCTTGAGTTCTGTGCCAATGTCCGTTAGCATTTTTCGCTCAGGGGTCATTTAGATGCTTCTTATGAGACTTGTGTTTTGTTTTGGTAAACATGGTTTGTATCGTCAGTTAGCTGAGATTATTTCCGTTAATCTGGTATAACACATTAATAGGTTCTTAAATATTAAGATCCCCTGAGACACAGTATCGTGAAAAAAAATTTTTTTTACATTACGTATTTTATGAATTGAACAACAGAAAAATAATCGTTAGATTAGTCGACTAATCGATCAAATAATCGCCCGATTAATCGTTTTCAAAATAATCGTTTCCCCCCAGCACTAGTGTATATATTGTGGTAGCTTCCTCCTGTTCATTGTCAGTTCGTTGTCTTACTATGACCCACGTTCCTGATTACCTCACGGACTTCCCACGGATCTACCTCATTGATCATGCTAGTTTTCCTCGAAAGAGTATATTTGTTTTCCTTGTTTTGATTACTGTGCTAAATTCCAGTAAAGTCTTTATTTTTTGAGAACACTATCTGAGTCGTGCAATTGAGTTCATGCCTCAGAGTCTCTCCTTGACAGTACGAACTGACCATTAAAATGAACTCAGCCGACTCAGACCAGCTAAAGAACGCCATCCGCTTTCAGGGCCAACGTCTTGGGCAACAAGAAGAGCAGATGGTCGCCATACAGCACGGAGTGCAGCACCTATCCAACAGCCACGGGGAACTACAATCATCGGTGACAACCCAGGTGAATCTGCTGGCAGCTGAGGTCCAGCGTGTGCTCACTCACCTGCAGGCTGCTTCTCCTCCCACGACTCCCCCGGTTCCGGCGGCGACCGGTTCCGATCCCAACCGGTCTACTGAGCCGCACAGTACTTCCATGCGTCTGGCTCCACCCGAAAAATACTCCGGAGACTCGGAGGGCTGCCGGACGTTCATTGTGCAGTGTGAGTTACACCATCACCACCAACCGGCTGCTTTTCCCACGGACAATTCCAAAGTGGCTTTCATGATCTCCCATCTCTCCGGCCGAGCAGCAGCGTGGGCTACGGCAGAGTGGTCCCGAGGCTCCCCCATCTGCGGGTCTCTGGAAAACTTCATAGACACTATGAGAAAGATCTTCAATCAAACCACGCCGGGCAGGGAAGCAGCTCGGGCTCTGATTAAGCTGAAACAACATCAGCGGAGTGTGGCTGACTACGCCATCGAGTTCCGGACTATGGCAGCCGATAGCGGCTGGAACTCCGCTGCATTGTTTGACGCTTTCGTCAGCGGTCTCTCGGATTCCCTACAAGACCAGCTGGCGCCTCTCGATCTGCCCGCTGACTTGGACTCTGTCATATCCATGGCAATACGGATAGACAATCGTTTGACGGAGAGGAGAAGGAATAAATCCAAGGATGCGGTTGATCCGCCTCCCCAGAGGAGACTCTCGCCACTGGATACTACTTCTTCTTGAAGGCCCCGTCACCCCTCACCGGCGTTCCGGACAACAGCGCCCCCTGGCTCCGTGGAGGAGCCAATGCAGTTGGGCCGCGCCAAGCTTTCGATGGCAGAACGTCAGCGTCGATTAAAGGAGGGTCTGTGCTTCTACTGCGGGCAGCGCGGACATCCACAAGCGGCTTGTCCGGTAAAAGAGGAGGCTCACCAATAAAGAGGAGTACGTTGGTGAGCCGGATCTCTTCTTCTGACTTTCCTCCTCGCACCCTGACCGGCATCCAAGTAAAAATCAGAGACAATGTGGTTACTCATGGTGCACTCATTGACTCAGGGGCAGACGAAAGTCTGATGGATTGGGGTTTAGTTAAAAAATTGGACATAAAAACTAAACCTCTACCCCAGCCTCTTGAAGCGAGTGCTCTCGATGGGCGGCTGTTGTTTAAAGTGACTCACCAAACAGAGCCTTTAGAAATAAGATGTGATGATAACCATCACGAGACAATGTCATTTCACTTGTTTAA